CTTTTTTTTTTTTTTTTAAGCACAGCTAGGTGTTTTTTGTTGACATTTCCTCGTTGTGGACCCTTTTGGCAGTGCGACATGAAACTTAATGGATACCACTAATGCCTCCATCGATAATGGTCATAGTGATGTCGGTGTGACCTTTGACTTTTGGTTTCGTTTGACTGTCATCTGTCTCGCTTGCTCTCTCTCTACCCCTACTTTCGGATGGTTTAGGATCGCTGACGTACGATCAATACAAATTTTCATAGAGCAGCCCGAAACAATGGTAACAGTAGAATAACAAAGGGGAGCGAACAGGAAACAAGGCTAAATTCACCCTTTTTAAAAAACCAAGATGTTTCGGCTCAAAACTGAGTCATTTTCAGTCGGAAATGTTACAATAAAAATTTACAAAAAAAATCTTTTAAAACACTATGAAAAACCTGAGCCGTACATGGTGGTGGCCGGGATCTGAGAAAAAAAATCATCGTTTTTTTAAATTTGTATTGTAACATTTCTGACTAAAAATGACGCAGTTTTGAGTCGAAACGTCTCGGTTTTTTTTTTTTTTAATTGTGTATTTTAGCCTTGTTTCCCGTGTTTCCCCCCTTGTTTTTCTTCGTACGATAAATATGCACGCTTACGATTTTTGGCTGGTTGTTGAAATTGATAGACAAAAGTGATATACGAAGAAGACAAAAGGAATGTGGAGCGATCCTGTTGGTTGAAATGAGTGGTTCATATAGACTAAGGTAGAAAATGATAGACTAACTGAAGAGTCTCCTATGTGTGGGTTGCCGTTAGTTGGTCTATATTACCTACCTTTCTTGTCCATCGTAACCATCCGCTTACACCAATAGGATACCTCCATATCCTTTTTGTCTTCAGTGTCTATTGCTTCGTCTATCAATTTCAACAATCAGCCCTCTGACAGGAACACGCCAAACATCGCGAACTCTCGCAGAAATTACTGAAGACGTCTCCATGCACCACTTGAACTGTACGGTTTGCATTAAGGAACTGTCATATCCAACTCATTCGAGAATGAACATTTGTGCCTTCAGATTCTATATGCAGGTAGTGTTTTTATGGATAAGCGAAATACAGCACGTGCAAGTAGCTGCCGAAGGATCATCGCGTATCTGCGACAGAGTATTTACGCGTACTTTCGCGCTGTCTATTCTCCCGGCATACATTCGCCTCGAAACGAATAGACCTCTTCCTTCCCCAAAAAAATGTCCTTTTTTGCATAGTTCGATTAAAACGCTGTTTTTGAAATGAGCCAAAAGTAGCGGTCCTTCGTTACAATATGTAGTGCAATTTTTTCAAGTGTAATGGAGAATATGCATGCACACAAAAATTGTATTGCTTCACCTGAAAGTGCCTATAATGAGCTGGGTTCGCAGTATTTTTCATACTTTTTTCTGACATGGGAAATTGGAGAAAAATTGATTTAAAGTGAGGAAGAGTGCCGCCTTGTGACGTCATCTGGCGGCATTTCCCATTTAAACACATGTATTTTAGCAGGAGATTTTGTCCCATCTCCTCCAATAATTGCTCGATTTATGAATCAAGGGTATCTACGTGTTCAGTTCACTCAGTGGATTCCACGTAAACACGAAATTCATCAAATTTCAGACTCTTGCAAATTCTCAATAAAGATTTGATCATTTGCTCACATATATTTATTTCAGCAGGAATTCGTTCCGTTCTCAAATTCTCAAACGAAGATACATTTTTTTATGAAAAGAGTGGTTTATTTTTCTCTTTTGACAAAAAGGTATTTACATTCCGATCTATGCATTATGTACACAGGTGCCTCCGTAAAGAAGCTCGACTTTTCCGGAAACTCGATTCGGCGGCTGACTGATGGAGTGCTGATCAACCTACAGAGCTCGTTGGAAGAGCTTAGACTGGCCGATAACCTTCTTGGAGACTCACTCAACCCTATCTTCTCAAGCAGCGAGTTCCATGCACCCTCCCAGCTCAAACTCCTTGACCTCAGCGGGAATCAGATCAAGGCCATCGAGGAGGGCCTTCTAAAGGGATGCACGCATTTACAGGTAAATATACTCAATTCACACCAAGGAAAAAATTTCGATCGCACTAATCCACAAATTCGAGAAAAACACGAAAGACCAGAAAATGGAAAAAAAGGAATCAAGCCACATCAGCTATCGGCAAATCTAAGGAGACACCTTAATTTTTTACAGGATAACATTTGCGTGGATTCCTTTGGAAAGTTTTTGGAATTTGCCTCGTGATATTCAGAAAATTCACTGAAGTTCGAACAAAAATCCGCACAACCAGTTGTATGTAAAAAAAAAGTAATAAATTACCTTGTTAAAGCAATGGCCGATGTGGCTTGGTTCCTTTCTACTGAACACGGTCCAAATAGTAAGCTCTCTTCCGAGTCCAAAATAATTTCATATTGCGTATAAAATTTCCAAAGGTCTGCGCCAACCGGGGCTGAATAATCGCGCGAAGATTAATGACCCGAGTCCTAAGAGGCTCTGACGCAACGAGCCCGGCGCGAAATCTACCGAATTCACTCGAATCCTCCTCGATTAATCGTGTAATTCTGCCGTGCTACGGTAAAACGCCGTATGTACATCCAGGCGTTGCCAAATTTCCTTTCAAAAAACGCGAATTTCCTGGTTGATTTATGAATATATTCCTCCCAATTTTTCAGATAGGTAATTTAGTTCACAATTTTACCTAAAGATTCTGAAAATTTAAGGGAAAAATATCCATAAATTTCCTCAAAAATGAACATTTTATCGAAGGAAATTTGGCAACTCTCGAATGTTCACACGGCGTTCTTCCTCAGCACGGCAAAATTCACTGACGTCACAACATGGCACCAAGGCTGAGCAGCGAAAGTACTCTGAGAATCGGACCGGGGCTTCACTTCGGGAGGAATCGTCGTGTCATTCATTCATCCATTTGGACGTTCATGAATCGAGAGAACTCATCTTTATTATGACATGGACCCTAATATGCGTGTGTTCTCATGGATCTCGGGGCTCAGATGTGGATGCAGATAGGTCATTTTGATTTGAATGCGTTCGATTCATTCATTTTCGTTCACCCGATGAACGCTCCGCACTCGCGCAGTACGGTGACCTACACACAAAACGCACTCGCGCGCTTGTGGTCGCGTGAGCGAGCGATGAGGAACACTTGTAGGGTGGTTCGAAAAAAATCAGTCACCGATGCGCTTCGGGCTGAATGAAGATCATATTCGATTGTGGTTCGATGCATCGTTTGGTTCAATACAATAGAACATAACCTCAAACAAAAATTTTAAGATTTAAGTAGGAAAAGCTAGAAGTGAGAAAATTCCTAGCAATGTCACTTTATGAGCCTAATGAGCTTCCATTTTGACGCCATTTTGACGAGTGGACACAGGGCTATTGAACCAATCGCTATCGATACAATCTCACCTGATGAATCGAATTTGATCCATTAAAAAGAAGTGGAATTTATACGAATTGAAGTTACGCACTTTACAATTCAAGTGGTTTCGCGATAGAGTTACGCAAAATGCGCCCTTTTATGGCAGGAGAAGATGATGCATGTCACTAAATTAAAGCTTAGAGCGTTTTAATCTGTATCATTAGACGGCAAAAAGCCCAAACATGCCAAAAATTGACCCCTTGACAACAGGTGAAAAGGAGATGAAAAAGTCGTAATTCTCCCGTCAGCCCTCGAAAAAATTTAGTTCAAATGCTACAGAATATCATTATTAATGCGTGCTATGGCTTGAAATTTGGGTCCGATTTGCTGGATTTGATTTGAAAGCGTTCGGCACTAAAAACGGAAAATTAATATGTTTCACCCAGCTTCGATGTTTTCACTGTACCGAAAAATTTGATTTTTGCCTTACGGCACATTCTGTCTGACTCAATTTTATTTCGTAAAAAAGAATCAACTTTCTTTAAAAAGGAAATCACAGCGTCCTGAAAGTGGTTGGCTGAATTTCAGACGCTTTTTCAATTTTCTAATAGATAATATTAAATTGTAATTATTTATAGGATATTACTTCGGGTAATTTTTCTTAAAAAAAATTCAACTTGGTTAAGAAATGATAATTTCAAGAGAATCTTTCGTCTGTCAATTCTTCTCTGTTAATTTTAAACAAGATTAAATCAAAAGAGCCAAGTGGTCAGTTAAATTTCAGGAGAAGTTCGTTTTCAACTAAACTTAGCCCATGTTTAATTTCCTATATTTTAATTGTTGCTGTTGTACTTTCTGAACCATCCAGTAGTTTCGCGGTCTTAAAATCACTCACACCAGAAAAAATTACTCACACTATCACGCGCACATTCAATTAACCGAGGAGCTGCTGACAATGGAGGCCTCGTAAGTTTGAGTCCCCCCCCCCCTCTACCCTTCGGACCCCAGATTCCATTGTCCCGATTACGTAGTGTCGCTGTCCCAGAATCATATGAGTCGGAGAGGTCTCAGGCCCCTCTCCTGAGCAAGCTCATTTCTCATCATCACAGCACTGGACCCTATTCTGCGGCACTCGCGGTCCAAATAACTTAAATGGAAATACTTATGTGTATGAATTTCCGCGAGGAAAGTATCTCACAAACAAAAAACGCAGGATAGAATAATTTGATGCCATAGGCGGATTCAGGGGGGGGGGGAAGAGGCGTAGAGTGCGCACGCCCTCCCCCTTTGCCCCGAAAAAATGAGGATAGAAAAGGGAAGAAAGAGAGATTGAGGGAATAACGGACGAATGAAGCAGGAAGGACGCTTATATATGGTAATTATTCTTGACGGAAATGACTCAACTTGCAAGCTACATGCTTTATTTCGAAAATTTTCTCGGAGGAGCCCCCTGGGTACCCAGTATCCCCTTTACGCCCTTTCCCCGTTCAAAGTGTCTATGATTAGTGCCACAGCGGAGTAGAGTTTTGCACGTATAGGCACAAGAAGCGATCAAGAATGTTAACTCGACCGAATTCTAGAATTTACACGAAAAAATGCTATTGCATTTGAGAAAAATGCACTTGAAAGCTCTTAATAAGCTTAGTTTGAGCACTATTTTTCACATTTTATCTGATATTAAATGTGAAATTACAGGAAAATGGATTTGGAATAGATTAAAATTAGATTTAAGAGAAAATATACCGCACTTTGTGACGTTATCAGGCAGTATTTCGCATTTGAATATTACTTTAGCAGATTAGGTCATTTGGTCATATCTTCTCTTATAAGAATTGCGAATTTTAGAAACCAAGAATATTATCACGTTCAATTCAGCCGGTAGTTTTCTCTTAAAAATTAAATTTTACAAAATTTCAAACTCTTGCAAATTCTTTACTGGTATATAGGAGACATAAACAACGCTTCGATGCAGATAAGCATTAATTTTACTATGCATATCATCCATATAACACCATGAAGTTCATTGAAACCTGGGTGTCCGAAAAATTGCAAAAGCTTTATAAAGACGTAATGTTGTGAGCTGTTAAGAAAAAGCACAAATTAAGGGGAAAATGCGTGCTCATTGAAGTCACGAGCTACAAAACAAGAATGAGATGAATACATGACGCTCGACAGAGGGAACCCGTGCGAAAGGATTCAGCTGACACGGGATCTCAGGAAAACAAATTGAATCGTTAAGAAAAGTGAAATAAAGCACTTTTACTCTTGTATTGAGACACTGATGGAGGAAATACAGCAGAAGCTGCGACCCGCTCAGTGATCAAAAATCAAATTTACGAAGGATAAAATTCTGAATTTAGGACAAAGAAATCCTTGGCACACTCTTTCAATCATACTGCAAATCCAATGCGTAGAGAAAGCTGAAGGTGCAAAAGAAAACTCATTCAATCATACCGCAAATCCAATGCACAGAGAAAGCTAAAGGTGCAAAAGAAATAAGCAAAGCGCCCCTAGTTAGGCGCATGCGAAGAACAGTAAACAAAATGCATTATAACACTCGGATACAACTATTCGGGCTTTACGGATGTCCGTGTTGCATACGTAAGAGGATGAAGGCGTTTTGACACTCCAGACACTCGCCGCTGCATTCGTGATGTGGCGTGGCGGAAGGTTGTACCATGGGAGGATCCAAAATGACAAAGTGGGTTCCATTCTTGGTTTATACTACAAAGCCATCACTCGGGCACGAATATTTTACACAAATGGGTATCTTTTGTGCCTCAGTTTTGATATCGCGATGTAATGATTGCGAGCAGAATTTTTAAAGCAACTATTTGCAACTAAAAGATGTATTTCGACGGCGTAAGTCCGCAATTACATATTTTGTTTGCAGTGTCTGAAAACCTCCGCCTCTGTGTTATTTATTTAAAGGAGAACAAATTGACATCATCCCTTGAAGTTCTTGCAGAATTTTCTTCGCACAGAGATGAAAAATCGCTGCAATTTTAAAGAATTTCCGTTGAGTGGTTCTCCGTTTAAAAACGATACGTATATTAGCGCCTTCAAGACTGAATGAATACTTCACGCATTGCACCAAACACCATGCGTTAGGCGCAAGCCGTGAAGCGCCTACAAGACCGTATAAATACTTCACGCATTGCGCGTTCGCTACGGAGCGCAGTGCGCTCTAAAAGGTGACTCGATGGACGTCATATATTTTGTGTTAGAACGATGTGCGATATATCGCTTCGAATGGCTCTATTTTTTCAGCTACTAATCATTTTTCTCGAATTTTGAGATCGCAATTCTGTTGTCAGGAGACTAAAGCACTCATTTATCAATGTTACAAACAAATTCAACGAAATAAAGGCGTGTTTTTTCAGAGAGAAAACATCGCATTCGATACTGATATCGAAACTGCACTCGAATGCGATATTTTCGCTCTAAAAAAAACCACGCCTTTATTACGTTGAATTTCTTTGTTAAAATTGGTAAGTGAGTGTTTTAGTCTCTTGACAACAGAATTGCGATCTCAAAATTCGAAAAAAATGATTAGTAGTTGAAAAAATAGAGTCAATCGATGCGATATGTCGCAAGTCGTTCTGACACAAAATATGGCGTCCATCGAATCACCTTAAGCATTGCTCTTGGTCGGAAAATCTCT